CATTCTTTAATCTCAGGAAGGAATGACAGTTTTAATATAACATGCCTTTTCCTTTGCAAACCATAGTGGCTGCACTACCCAAATTTCACTACCAGATGGTGCAATAGGACAAGGAATGTTTTTAACGCAATGCTCATACGCGTAATGATCCGGAACCTTTGTTTTACAGGTTTTGTTTGCCAGACGGTCTATATAAGGCGAGGGAGAAGTCTTACCGGAAGTTAGCCGGACACCCCTTCGAGGCCGACTGGAAACAAAAGCTGGGACGTCCCCCTTGTCGCCAAGGGCGGGGCCGTAGGAACTCTCGGAAAAGATTAATAGACAGGCAAGCTACCCAATCAGATTGCAAATGGCGTGGTCGACGCCGAATCTGGGCTCCGGAGGGCGGGTCGGCGCTGCAGGGAGGGCGGGGGAGGAACGATGAGTGGCGTGGGAACATCACAAACAAGGCAAGCTAAATGCAAGATGCGGAGGTGAAAAAAAGCATGGGTTATGGCAGGCAATTTTTTTTAATACTTGAGGGAGTACTTCTTTTTAAAAATATGCTATGCATATAATCTAATCAGTCAATTACTGTTAAAACTCCATTTTGCAAAAATGCCATCCACAAACATCATGAGGATCCCAGAAAAATTAATAGCATACTTGATTGTGGCTGAAATTCAGTAACATAAAGTTATGCCATGTAAGTCTGATGACATCATTAGCCACAGCTGTATTTTGGAATTCAGATGTTGCCTATCCTCCTCCAAAGGTTCCTATGGTTTCTTAGGACCCCTGTGGTCCTGAGGCCGCCTCAGGGGACAGTGGGATAGGGCAGGAATTCTTAAATGTCTGAAAACTGCCACCACTGTTCCTGGTGGCTGTAGTGGTAATGAGGAACCTTTGTGTGTGTGTGTGTGTGTGTGTGTGTGTGTGTGTGTGTGTGTGTGTGTGTGTGTGTGTGTGTGTGTGTATATAGAACAACCGTCCTTGCCCCTTGTGGTTCTGCTGCCGTAATTGTCTTTTGCAAGGGGGGAAATAAAAGGATAACCCCCCCAAAAGGGACCCTCATGGCGTGTTTTAATAATTTGAGAAAACCGTGAGGGTCCCGTTTGGAAAAGCAGCCTTGCTGAGGTTGTGGGAGTCAATAAACATCAAGAGGGAAGAAGAAGGATGGGGATCCATGGTGCTCTCTGAGCCCCGCAGGAGGCTGTCCGCAATCCGTGCGATCTGAGCCATGCACACATGCCGGAGGCGCTCATCGTGCGTCTGTTTTCCTCGCAGGGCCCCCGAGGGGTTCGCCCAGCAGATGCCCCCCTATGCCCACCGCTGAAGGCTGAGCCTGGTTGCCCACCTGTGCCTTGCCCGCTGCCGAGATGAAGGTGCTGGCGGCCAAGGTGCTGTGCCTGGTGGGGGTCTTCGTCCTGATGCTGGGCGGTTCCCTCCTGCCGGTGAAGATCCTCGAAGCCGACTTCGAGAAAGCCCACCGCTCCCGTCGGCTCCTCTCCCTCTGCAACGCCTTCGGCGGAGGGGTCTTCCTGGCCACCTGCTTTAACGCCCTGCTTCCCGCCGTGCGTGAGAAGGTAAGTTGGCCGGCCAACGGCACAAGCCTCCGGGTCCGCTCTGAAAGCCGTTTGCGCGCTCAGAGGTCTGGAGCGTAACTTTAAATGACTATTAAGCTACAGAGCGGGGCCTAGAGACGCCCATTGAAAAGCGATCCTGTGCTTTTTTTGAGTGGGTGGGTGTGTTTGTGGTCTTTCTTAGTCCCGCCGCAGAGACGTCCCCTTTTTCTCTCCCCTTCGGCAGTTCCAAGAGGTCTCGAAGCTGGGCCACGTGACCACAGACTACCCGGTGGCCGAGACGCTCATGGTGGTGGGCTTCTTCCTGACGGTCTTCGTCGAGCAGCTGGTCCTGACCTTCCGGAAGGAGAAGCCCTCCTTCATCGACCTCGAGACCTTCAACGCCGGCTCGGATGCTGGCAGCGACTCAGAGTATGAGAGCCCCTTCATCGAGCACTCCTGGGGGCGCGGCCCCCGCCCCCACTTCCACGGGGAGCACGGACACCACACCCACGACGTGAACATCCAGGACCTCTCTCGCTCGGGCCCGCTCCGCCTCGCCAGCCTGGTCCTCGCCTTGTCTGCCCACTCTGTCTTCGAGGGCCTGGCGCTGGGCCTGCAGGAAGAAGGAGACCGGGTCATGAGCCTCTTCCTGGGGGTGGCCATCCATGAGACCCTGGTGGCCGTGGCCCTGGGGATCAACATGGCGAAGACGGGGCTGTCCTTGAGGGAGGCGGCCAAGCTGGCCGTGGCCGTCAGCCTGATGATCCCCCTGGGCATTGGCGTGGGCCTGGGCATTGAGAGCGCCCGGAATATGGCCAGCGCCGTGGCCTCGGTGCTCCTGCAGGGCCTGGCTGGGGGCACCTTCCTCTTTGTCACTTTCTTCGAGATCCTGGCCAAGGAACTGGAGGAGAAGAGCGACCGTCTTCTGAAGGTCCTCTTCTTGGTCTTGGGCTACACCGCCTTGGCAGGGCTGGTCTTTTTCAAATGGTGAAGAAGGGACAGGACGGAACCGTTCACATGCGATCCGCAGAGGAAAACCGCCCCTCACCACAGGAAGGCCTGCAGTGGGGCAGGATCCGCAGATCACCTGCCACGTGTGAGGAGGCATGTGGTGGCCAGTTGTGGTGTCCTCGTTTGCACTGAGGAGAAGATGGCCCATCTTCGAACACCCTCAGGCAGACATAAGGAGTCAGCCGCTCCTTTTAGCCCAGCATCCCTGGATCACATACACACCACACCTTGCAAGGGGAAGCCCTGCCAAGGCAGATGAAGGGGCCGGTTGACCTCGGAGCTTGATGTGATCTTCCCGTGAGCCTCCTTTGAGAACCATCTTTTAGGTTCTGTACAGTACCAGGATTGCTCTCGTCTCTCTCCCCCTCCCCTGGAAAGCCTCCTGTTTGCCGACAACCCATCTGCCGTGGCTGTTCACCTTTTCGGAGGGCTCTCTGGCTTTCCCTGCTTTCTGTCTGCATTACCTATATATTGAGAGAGAAAGAGAGAGAAGTTGTGTGGCTTTAGAAAGCTAGGTGTTGCATGCTTGCCCTCCAGAGTCCCATCTTTTGCATTTATGGGACTTTTTCAAAGGTTTCATTTGCTAATATTTAGCTGGTGTGACAAAAATACGGTAGGACTCCCTTATCCACGGGGTCAGTATCCACTGATTCACTTATCCAAGTTCTAAAAATATTAAAAATATTAAAAGAAAAAAACCCACCTATTTTTGCATGTATTACCAAAACTTGCCATTAGAGGGAGCCAGAGACTGTGCTGGGAATGCTTGTTATTGAAGAATACTTGTACATAGCATATGGTTGTTGTGGGTTTTTCCAGGCTCTTTGGCCATGTTCTGAAGGTTGTTCTTCCTAACATTTCGCCAGTCTCTGTGGCCGGCATCTTCAGAGTCTGTCCTCTGAAGATGCCGGCCACAGAGACTGGCGAAACGTCAGGAAGAACAACCTTCAGAACACGGGCAAAGAACCCGAAAAACCCACAACAACCATTAGATCCTGGCCGTGAAAGCCTTCGCGAATACATAGCATAGTCTCTGGCGCCTCTAGTGGCCAGTTCTGATAATACATGGGACTATATATATTTCCCTTTTACCATTTTATATCTATATTAACACCCCAGGGTCCTATTTGGGGAAGGGAGGCAGAATTTTTTGGTGTTGATTTATTTCTTTGACTTCTGGGCATTTTCTTTCCCTCCCTTTCAGAGCTCATGGGCCACTAATGGGGGGCTGGAGGTTGGCCCCATACGTGTCTGTTCTTGAATTAAACCCACACCCTAATATTTAGCTTAGAGACTTTGTGTGTGAGTGTGTGCTGGATGATATTCCTGCTCTGGAGCATCCTGGGATTTCTCCCCCACCCCACCCTGCCCCTTCTCGTCCAGAGAGGGTAAAGGTCAGCCAGACCCTAAATAAACATCCTTCAAAAACAGCTTGTTTTATCTTTCCTTTTTCTTATGGTGCTCTTTATAGAAGGCACAGAGTTCCAAAGGCGAGTCCGTTCTTGAATCAGGTTGGCTTGTGAACCTGGAAACGCTAACAAATGCCTTAATAAAATCGGCAGGAAGGCCATCCGGGGCTGTAAAATTTACAGATAGATAACAATTTGACCAGGGTGTCCACTTTTTGAATTCTTCAGCAGGCTTTCTCAGACCAGAAGGAGTGTGGTTTTTTTGAGGGGGGGCATTCCCATGCTTAAAAATCCCTCCTAAACGTCATACTCCCCCTGTGGATTTTGGACCTTGCTGGGTTCCCGTGCCTTGCAACCTGCTCTTTGGGGTTTTAAGCTTCACGTCATGCTCAAAGCAGAAGCAGGCCAGATCCTCTGGAAGAAAACTCCCCTTCCCAAATCCTTCCTATTTGTAAAATACCTTTATTCAGCCAGCGGGAAGCCCACGGTCCCAGTGGGCAGCCTCCCGCTTGCCTGGGGGGGCTCATGGGGCCAGGCCAGGGCTAGCCCCCCCGCCTCCTGCTCCAGCCACCCCCCAGCCCAACTCCCGCTGCCCTCCTCGCACAGAGCCCTGCGGGAAGTGCTGCGCGGCGGCGGTGTGTGTTCGTCCCCCATTTGTCAAAGGGGATCCATGCAGACAGCCCGCGTGGGTGTCTCCCCCTCCGGGGCGGCAGCTTGCCTTCGGGGGGCCTCTATTAATAACGGGCTCGGATCTTAATTAGCTGTGTGAGTCACTGGAAAAATCTCATCCCTGCTCTGGCTTGATCCTGCAAGACAGGAAAAATGGGTCCAGCCCACTCTCTATCAAGCGCTTTGTGCTGCCGTTCCTATGGACTGGTATCAGGATAGACTGCCCCTGAGCCTGGAGGCTTTATTGATCTGCCCAGACGAGTTGCCACGGAGATTTCCATCGTGAACCGATTCAACTCCCTTTTAAACCTCTCCGCATTGGCGGTGGTAGGGAGTGCCCCCCCCAGCCGAAGTGGGCACTGTGCATGCCTGCCTTCGGGGTGGCTGCTGGGATCTAGCGCAAGTGGCAGGATAGGGCCCTCTAAGGTACCGGAAGGCAGCAGCCTGTCTGTGGAGGTGTGGGAAAGGGGGGGGGGGAACAAAAGGGCAGGCTCCGGGTCTCCACGTCCCTCCCTCCGCCCACCTCACGGCAGAGCCAGTCTGCTGTCCAGTAGCAGGGAGTCCCTCTGGCCCCTGACCTCCCTCCCGCGGGCCTGAAGGGGCCAGAGAAAGGAGGGACTCCGAAAGGCACCCGGGAAGGAAGGGGGGTGCAGATTGGGGAGAGGCTGACGGGCGGGGGGGGGATACAGCCCCCCCTGGGGAGTTACGCTGACCTTTGACACCCCAAGGAAGGGAGGGAGGGGAAGGAAGGGTGGGGAGGAAGGGAGAGGGATCAACGAAAGGGGGGGTCGGCCTCGGCAGACGCAGGAGCGGGCCCGCCCGGCAAGAGGCGCCTCCCCAGTCCCGCCTCGTGTCAGCGGCGTTCACACGTGACACGCCTCTTGCTCCCGCTCTCCGGCCCCCCCTCCAGCGCCTGCCTGCCTGCTTGCCCGCCTGCCTCTTCCTCCTCCTCCTCCTCTTCTTCCTCCGCAGCGCCAGCACCTGCGCCGGCCCGGCGGCTCCTCTTCCTCCCCTCCATCATCCTTCCCTCCCCTCCCTCCCTCCCTCCCATCATCCTCAGGC